AAGAAATGTTAAGTACCCAGCCTAAACATTCTGCAAGCAGTCAGTTCTCTCTAGAATATATTGGCTCATACCCAGCATGGGGTATGGGTTATATATCTTTAGGATAATATTTTCAGTCAATATTTCGTGTGTGTGTGTGTGTGTGTGTGTGTGTGTGTGTGTGTGTACGTACATGTGTGTGTTCCAGGGTATGGATGAGCATGTGCACATGGAGTTGAGACCCAGCCTTTTAGCTCACCGTGGTTTTTGTTGTTTAGTTTCCTTTTCAGGGTCGCTCTCTGGCCTGAAACTCACAAACTAGGCTAGGCTGGTTCCCCACTGGTCTCCACCTCTCAAATGCTGGCATGGGTTGCAAACTTATTCTACTCCACCCCGAGCCTTTTTTTACATGGATTCTGGGGGTGAAATTAGGGTCCTCCTGCTTGCAAGGTAAGCCCTACACTGACTGAGCAGATGCCCCAGAACCTGGCTTTCAGTAGCCATTTCTTCAGTACTGTAAGGTTCTGCCCATGGTTTTGATGGCTGCAGTGACAGCCAAGAGAGTCTCTCTACACTCAGGTAGATTATTGTCCAGGAGGAAATGACACTTTTCAACCTTACAAAATGCTGCTTTTTTCCCCTTCAAATTTCTTCTAGACACATGTAAGCATGGACTTGCTATCCATGATTAGTTAAAAAGGGAGAAGTAGAGGGGAAAAGGAAAAAAAAATAGATAAAATGAAGTCCTACCTTTGAGTTTGGTTCTGGCCTTTAACAGGTAAAGATTTTGAACAATGTGTGGTAATTTACTGTAAGTAATAAAATTATATCAATCCTGCCAAAGAATGGTAACCAAGGATTCAGGCCATCCATGTGCACTAATTTGGATATGGCAAGCTTGGAACTTATTTATAACTTTTACGGTATTTTACCGCTCTTTCTTTCCAAAGAAGCACACATCCTATTGCATAAGGCATGTGGCTGTCTGTATCTCCTCTGCCAAAAGCAGCTGGGAACAAGAGAGGAGTCTTCACATATTGTTATTTCACATCTGACTTTGTGATGGGTCATTATACAGAAACACTCAGTATTTAACAATCTTGAAGCTTGGATTCAGATCCATCTGACGGCCTGGGGGGAAACATGGTTTGATGGCACAGGTTCATAAACCCCCTGAGAGTGGAGCTGGCTTTTATAACTGTGCCTACCTCTGGGCAGATGTGAAACCAAACCCATGGTAGGCAATGAGAACACTGGCTGGTGCAGTCTATTGGTACAGACTGAGGAAATAATCACGGTTCCCTTTCAGCCTCATTCTCAGCAACTCACACCTGTAGCAGCAATCTTAGAGAGTCTTATTAATAAAATCAAACCTGAGGCCAGTTATTGGGGTGAATGCTGGTAGATCAGATACACAACAAGCCACAGCTATCTCACCTTGTCAATTCCTCAGCTGGTCCTGTTTCCTCAGGCTGGAGGCCTCTGAGTCCTCATCCAAATGAATTTCAGCTGAACTGCTGCTCGAAGCCTGAAAGCTTAACCAGCCAAATGCTTCTAGTTCCTGGTCCTCACGCCTTATATACCTTTCTGCTTTCTACCACCACTCCCTGGGATTTAAGGCTTGCTTTCTGGGATTAAAGGCATGATGAGTCACCATGCCTGGCTGTATCCTTGAACACATGGATTTCTGCCTCTGGAATGCTAGGATTAAAGGCGTGTGCTACCACTGCCTATCCTTTATGTTTAATATTGTGGCTGCTCTGTCTCTGACCCCAGATAAGTTTATTAGCATGCACAATATTTGGGGAATACAATACCACACACACCAGTTAATTAGGGATGCCTTGATTATTTCTGGAATTTCAAATATGTGTGAGTGCCCAGGTTTTATCTTGTTCCAAATGAAGCAATTTTAGACAAAAGTGTCAAATATTTTCTAAAGGCACATTATCGGAGCCCCCTGGGACTGAAGAGAGTGCTGTCACCTGTGTCATTTCTTTTGGAAAATGGTGTACAAGCATGCCCCACCCCACCCCGCCCGTGTGTGTGTGTGTGTGTGTGTGTGTGTGTGTGTGTGTGTGTGTGTGGCGCGCGCAGAGGCCAGAAGTTGACCAAGATAAGCCAGCACATCCAGCTTTTCATGGTGATGCTGGGGTCCGAACTGAGGTTCTAGCACTTGCATAGCAAGTATTTTACCCAGGAAGTTGTCCCCCCAGCCCTCCAAGTAAACAGTGGCTTTCCTCCCCAAGGCTGAGCTCTGGGACACAGCTATCCCATTGTAGGGGAAGAACTTCCTCTCAGCTCTCTCCACTTTGCCTAGTGACCACTATCCAAACTGCTGGCTGCGCTCCCAGCCTGTCTCCTTCCCTGAGAGTGTCACAGTTCCCTACAGGGTGGGCTGGCTTCTTACCCATTGAGGAAGACACAAAACAGCCAATGTCACATGTCTGCGAGACTTCTTGATAGATACCCCCCTTCCCAGAGCTCCTTTGCCCGAGCTTCAGTGAAGAACTGTAATTCTTAAGTGACACCGCACGATGAAGGTTAAACATTAAAAAGCGTGCCTCTTCTGTTTCAGGGCCTGCTTTTTTATTTAAAAAAAAAATATCTTTTATCATGCTAGCACTGAGTCCCTTTTCAACTAGAGCTTTACTAAAGCATTGTGGGGAGGGTTTGTATTTCCACATTCAGGCTTTCATCTAAAACATTTCATATAAAATACTTACATTATAAATTACTTGATTTTTTTTTCAGATGGATTAACAATAGATGGAGTTCTTACTTTTCCTTGTCTCTTACTGGGGGTTCAAAGTTAAGGAACTGCTCATCTCAGTCAACCTCCTGTGGAAATCAGCAAGCTGGAGTGAAGATTTCCTACCAGAATATTTGCTAGTGGTTCTTATTCACCTTTGCAGACACCACATTCTTCATTGTCTTGGGTCGACAGCTAAGGTGCCCTGGAAAGTAACTGGGGTATGTCTTTGGGGTTCTATCAGATTAACACATTGACCTGTTTAAAAGGAAATAAAAGATGTAGCCCGGGGGCAATTAGTGTTGGGACTGCACTGGACTCTCCAAGCAGAAACCTCTTAAACAGAAACCGAGCAGTGAACGCAGAGGGTGGAAAGTTCTGTTCACGTTAAGCACTTTCATCAGGGGCCTGGGGATGTAGCTCAGTTGGCAGAGAGCTAGCCTGGCAGGCAGGAAGCCCTGCATTCTTTCCCCAAGCATAAACTCAGAGCAGTGACATGTGCCTGTAATCTCCGCATTCAGGACCCGGAGGCAGGAGAATCAGAAGTTCAAAGTCATCCTTGTGAGTCACAGAAAGTCAAGGCCAGCCTAGGATATATGAAACCCTGTCTCAAGAAAGAAAGAAAAAGCACTTTAATCCAAACCTCAAATATGACTGATTTCAAAGCTTCTTTAATTAAAACCCTCATTTAGTAAGAGAAGTGGCAACGAGCTGGCTTAAATCAATAAATATATACTACATTTAATGTGTTCTACAAATGCTTTCAGATTTGCTGGTAGAAATCAGTGGTTATGTAACAGGTTGGGTTTTGTTGTTGTTGTTTTTTAAGAAATCATACTTTTTACAATTATATTCCGATAAATAAATGAGGTCAATTCACTAAACATTTTGTAATTAAAATAGAAAGAAACAGATTCTTTGGTTGGGAAAAAAGGAGGCGGGGGTGGGATCGACTTATGAGACAGACATTGTACCCATCTTCCTGAATAACTAAGTGAGGCAGGAAGCACACATTTGGTGATTGTGGGAGGTACAGGCCTAATACTTGGTCCTCTGACACAGAAGGCACAGCATGATTGACACAGACACCTTTGCTGGCTGTGAGCCATTCAAATGGTTTTCTCAAGCACACCCAAATGCTAGGATGTTTGCTAATTTTTTTTATTATGAATATTGTTACACACACACACACACACACACACACACACACACACCACTCCACACCACACCACGAAGCTCTACCTCTTGGTTCCCCACAGCACCAGCTTTTGGGGGCCAAGAAAACTTGAGGGCTCTTCTCACGGTCTAGACCCCTAGAGGAGGCAGGTCCCAGGTGTCTAGGAGGGAACTGGTCTCTCTACAAACCGCCTCAAACCCCGAAGGACTCTCAAGTCTGTCGTGCCAAGGCCTAGCACGAAGAGCTCTCTCGTGGTCGGCTTTGGAGAGCCAAGCAGCTCCCCTTCCAGGCGTACTCAGAGTGCTCTGGGTCCCTGCCGGAGTCGCCAGGGGTCTTTGCGACTTTGACCAGTAGGAGCAGGCAACAGCAGAGCCAGGCCGCCTCCTGCGGTTTCCAACTCTACCCCAGCAACAGCGCCGGAGCCCCAGCCAGGCGACCCAGCGCCGCGCCGCGCGCGGGGAGAGAAGCAGCTGTTCCCAACAGCTGGGGGGCGGCGGCGCCGGGCGCCCCAGGTGCTGTCCCGGCCAATCGCAGGCGTCCGGCCCGCCCCCTCCCCAGCCGGGCGTCGACCCCCGGGCCGCTGGGGAAGGGAGCAGAGGGGTGGAGAGCTGTCCTCCGTCCGCACTGGTCTGGCAGCTCCCCGGCAGGAGGGACCATTACCAGCCCCAGCCGGGCCCAGCGCCGCGCCCCCAGCTGCCACCTCCGCGCCCCGGGGCACAGTGGCCGCTGAGTCTCTCCCCCTACCACCCCAGCCACTCGATTTTTTTTGAGAAACATCTACCTCTTCTGGACTCGGAGACCACCACCCTCTCTTTGCATTTAATTATTATTATTATTTTTTTTTTTTTTTTACTTCCACGAGGGGTGAGTGCATAAGGCTCGCGCAGTCTACAGCCGCGCAGCTGGTCACTCGGACGATCGAGAGTGTCTGAACAGTGACCGGACGCGGGGACAACATCAGAGCACCCGGGCGAGTGTCGGGGGCCGCGGGCCACTTGGGAAGTCGCGCGCCCAGCGCCCACGCCGCGCCCTCGCCCCCGCGCGCG